GCGAGAGTAAAGGTGTCGACAAACTTCACTAATTTTTCAAAGTCGCGATGGTCCTCAGGGTCCAGTTCGTTGGGCTTCGTAATATAATGCTCGGTGCTCTACTTGAAGTGAGCGTCAGTCCCGTGAAGGGAAAACTTTGAAACCCACTTCATCACCATGTTCCCATCCTCGTCAATACGCATGCTTCCATCCTCCTTGAGTATCGGCTCATGATTAAACACAGAGGAACAACTCAAACATACTTGCATGAAACTTAGTCGACATGTCATACATTAATACAAAAGTGATATCCCACCATCTAGCCATTGACCATATTGTCTAAACAGCGGTTCAAAAGAATATAATATTGGCAAGCAAGAATTAAGTTGCAACCCAATAGGAAACTCAAAATTTATCAAAGGCGAGTTTCATTTGAGAAATCACATATTTGCCATGGTTGGCCAACATTGTAACACTATAAAAGAAAAATGACAAGTGGATGATGTGAAAAGATCTAAACAGGGCGTGTTCTAAAGGCCTGTATTATTGCCAAACATATATATGATGGTAGATAAAACATCAAATTATTAGACTCTCAACTTTCTAGATGTCTATTCATGCTACAACCAAACCATGATGAATGCATCAAATGCATAAAAACGACTTTCATGATAAATGAGCTGAACTTTTACTGCCACATCGTCCCTGGGCTAAAAAATGTACAAGTCATTTACTATAGACTCTTGAAAAAAAGTATGGGAAGCAAATTAAGAATAACATCAAGGTGTGCATAACTACATGGACAACATAACGATCATGACTATAAGTACTAAGTCTTACTTTAAGGACTTGTGAATCATATTTGGACACATTCTAAAGTATAAAACGAGGTTGAACATATAAAAAATCATTTTAGAGGTTTAAGGAAGCAATTTATTAGGATTCATGATCACCTAAAGGGAGATAAAATTTAATACTAAGAAGTGCAGGGCAATACTTTAGATGCAACGTCTGAAATCCATCAGAGAAGCGCAACAACTAGCAAAACAATCAACGTTTATATCATGGTTCCTTTCAAAATCAACAAATCACTCATTGCCAATCCATAAGTCCTCTAAAAGCAATAACACTTTAAATGGACTCCCTAATGGGAACATGCCTTTGATGACTCAAATAAGTTCCTTCCATAATCCTTAGTAATAACTATGCTAACAATTTATGCTAAGTTTAATTTTTTCTTAACATCCATAAAAGATGTAACCAAATTGACCTGTGTAAAGGAAAGAGAAAAAACACAATAACCATTGTACTTTATGAGCAAAATGGTACAAGAAGCATATATGTCATACAAAAAATATAAGTAACCAACCTTTTCCTTAATATTATCATCTCAAAGATTTAGGCATTACGTCTAGTCATACATACTTATTGTGAATAAAGACCTTCTCGTCAAGAAAATTCCGTTGAAGGCGAAGCTTTTGGGAAAATAGTGATTTTAAGAAAACCGATAAGGTTTACAAATTAGGCGGTGAATCAAGATACAATGGTATACTTTGATATGAAGTCTTGTATCCTGGTTCTCCAATCCCGGGGGGTACATGCAAACACTCTGACACACAAGTCAACGAAAATAAAAAATGAATGATATTTAAGGTTAGAATAGTGTGCACATTGATGTGACACATTGTTCATAGTGAGGTCATATGGTTTTCAATAACCTATAACATTCTATCTTGGACAATTATAAGAAACGACACATGTAAAGAGACCCTGCCAATTATAATTTAAAGATCAATTCATTCTATTTTCCCCAATCAAGTGCACTTATAGAACATATCCATCATAGGTTCCATGATACTAGGACCTTATTATGGATAAATTATGTAGAGAAGTAACACGAGAAAAGTGACCTTAGTATCTTTTGATGCTTAGGTACGAAGGTCCATAGACCTTTAGTCAATATGGTTCTTGAAAGGTTCGATATTGGGTTTAACCAAAGTTATTTGGGCTTCGGCTCATACCTAAACAAATTATAACATGGTTAATGAAACTCTTTAAATTTATACCGACTTTGAACCAATATGGGCCATCAAATCCCAAAGTCTTGGTTGATTTTACTACAAAGGTGTCGCATCCAAAAGACGACAATCTCTTGACCATGAACGTCATCAACCCATAACTTATGTGATTTTAGTTAAGTATCAATTGCCACAACCTCTGGTGACTATAAAATGACTTTCTTAAGGATATGTTTAGTAATGAGTTTTTTCCCCAATATATTTTCGAGTCAACTTTTCATCCACACACTTTTATCTTATATAATCTCTCAAAGAATGATGAGTTATTTAACAAGATTTGCAAAATATTAGGGGTGTCTCGTATTCTACATCAACATTAAAAGCATAACCTCTAATTTCTACCGAAAGAGAGTCATGTAAGAATTCGAAAGGTCAACACACCATCATTATAGCAAAATACTTGAGCTTTTTGCTATTGATGGCTTTATCCAAGGCTATAAGAAATCTTACCCCTATAAAATAGTAAAAAGAGTCGTAGACCTCCAATATTCAAATGGAAAATTGTGAAACCTAATTCAACATTGAACGTTAGTGTTTTGTACCGTGCTTGTGTTGAAATTCGACATCCAAGAAAAAAAGAAAGTATTTTCGATGTAAGGATACATGTTCTCGTAGTAAAAACTATATGAAAATTTTCAATAGATAAAAAGTGAAAATAAACAACCCCTATCAATTATTTGTAAAAGACTATTTGCCTGACACCATTCAAACACTATTTAATTTGTCATACAAATCATCCAAGGTGAGATGAGTATAATTTTTCTCCAACATAAATCTTTAATGTAGGAAATTTTGGAACGACTAACCTCAACAACATAATCCGATTTTAGAATTGTAACAATAATCACATCACATTTTAAACATGACGTATGTAATTGGCACATCAAGTGTTCCCTTTAAAATTTGTTTAAAGATTTTGCTTTCATTTTCTAAAATATCAATAACAATGTTATTATCATTCTTTGTGATTAAATTTAATGATCAAGGATTGATCAAGACAGTCGTTGAGAACACATTGTTATTGAAGTCGTGCTCAAAATACTTCTACAATTGATCAATCTCAAATCCATAATTATGATTTTAATAGTTATTTGCAAGTTAACCTTAAATTTTGAGAGAAGTTTCACATTCTCCATAACTGCTATTTTCTTCATCATCTATCAAATATGAGTGGTTTTAACTCATTTTTTCTAATTGTAAGATCGTATGTTAGAACCGCTTACATTCTTTTAACTAAATGAAATGACATCACATAAATACAAGCTTTTTCTTTGCATTTTTCGTGATTCTATCGCCTAAATACGACATTTCGTTGTTCTTCATTTTTGTGCGACAATACCTAATCTCTTGTCAATTTGCTAGCATATTCTCATTTAATGCTATTAATTTAAATGTCATAAGTTTATTTGTAAACTCATTATTTTTAATTTTTAAAATATTGAGTTTGTATTATCATCAAACATATTTTATTAATAAAAAATACTCCAGAATTATTTGCAAAACTAATCTAAATAATCAAAATTAAAATACTATTAAATAAAACACGTCATTCCAATACAATATAAAAATATATAATTTACTATTTATAGCCATTGATATAATTAAGAGAAAAATAATTTTAAAAGTTTTTAAACCATGAAGTAAAAATAATATTTCTCATAATAAAATAATATACATGCCTTTGGATATTACGAAGCCACATTTGCATGGTGCATATAGTCTCACACACACAACAACACTCACACACGTACACAACCAACAACAACAGCAATAAACTCACCATTACCGCATCTTCTCCTTGTAAAGAAAATTAAAAATAAAAAGAGAGAGAAAGCATTATAACAAAAACCGATTGCGGGTTACCCATATCTAATATCTTCTTCCTCTTCCCAACCGCTCTTTTCTTCTTCTTCTTCTTCTTCGAACAAACCCTAATTTCATTCATCGCCATGCTTTCTTCTTTCTAGTTTCTTTACTTTCCTTTCACTGCAACAAGCTCTTCAAATTTTTTCACCATTACGCATTTTTCTTTTTTTTTCTTACTGATTCTTCCACGATCCTAACTTCCTTCGCCTTCTCCTTTGTTTCGTTCGTCAATCGTTTCCCGATCCTTCTCGTTTTGCAGCTATACGTCTCGATCTGTAAGTTTTTTGTTTTTGTATTTTTTTGTTGTTGTTTTTGTGTATGTGTGCGTGTGTTTAGATTATTCGTTTCTTCTTCTTTATTTTTTACGTTTTTTTGCGATCGGTTTGGATTTTTGTCAACGATGAGCTAATTCGATGACGGTTATTCAGTTTTTTTTTTTGTTTTGGTATATTTTGATTTTTTGTTTTTTGTTTTTTTGGATGATCGGGTTTAAGATTGGTAATATTCGTTGAGTGTTGAATTGAAAAAGTCAGTTTTGAATTTTTGTGTTGTTGTTGTTGGCAATCGGTGGGTTTGTAGGTTGGAATTTGTGTACTTTATTTTGGAGATGGAAGGGTTAGAAATAAGACTTGTTAGTTTTTGTTAAATAAACTGTTTTGACTATTGAAAGACGATGATAATATATGAAGCGTGTGATAAATATTGATGGCAGAAAATGATAGATTTCTCTGTATGATTTTTAGGTACATTGTTTTTGTTGTGGAGAGTATGTATTTTGATGAAAGTAGAATCTGTTTCTTGGTATGTAATGTCTTTTCAGTATGCTGCTTTCCTTATGTTGTTATCTGATGTTCAACTGAGAGGATTATTCCGTAGATTTTTTTCCCAAACTTTTTAGAGTTACTGTGATGCGTAGATGTAACTAAATATCTTTGGTTCGTTTCGGAGGTTCTGTTGGTGCCGAAAAGTTTTCTAGATGAATGCGTTGATCTGGATTGTTTATTTGCTTTGGTTATTTTTGTCGCAGAGTCTGTTTTTGGGGTCTATAAGGTGGGCTATGATTTGAATGGGGAGAGGATGCCAGAGTTGAGAAGTGGAGCTAGAAGGTCAAAGCGACTTGGAGATCTTCAGCCTGGTCCCCTACCTGTTGATCAAGGAGAGAATTGGGCACAGCCTGAACAGAACAGAACTAGGAGGAGAGTTGGAGGTGGAAGAGGAAGAGGTGGTAATGCTACAGGTATAGGTAAAGGGTCTTCACCAGCTGTACCCACAAGGCGACCTGCAGCTGGTAGAGGCCGCGGAGCAAGATTGATTGATTTGGATCCTGAACCTTGTGAAGTCCTTCCAGAACCTGTTGCATTAAGGGCTCAGGAACCTGTTTACAATCATTTAGAGGTAGTGGCTAATAATAACATTGTAATGGAGGGCGGAAGTGGTGATAAAGTGGCAGCAGCTGAAGAAGAGGCAACCACAACCCCTGTCCCTGAGAGGGTATGTTCTTTATTGCACATTGCTTCTCTTGCATTTCAAAGATATTGCTGCAAATTTGTTTCAATAATGTGATTATTAGTTGTATCATTTATTACATTTCTTCCCTCCTTTGCTGTTTCCATAAACGTTTTTAACATATATTAATTGGACTGTTGTGGAATTTTCAGATGGTAATGGAGATTTTCGTTATGCATTTTGTATTAAATAGCGTTTGTTATGTTTTGGTTCACCAGTTCATCCATGAATTAGTTATTCTAGACTGCATTGCAGTTGTTGTTATAAACATCCAGTTCATATAGATTTGGTAGTATCTTGCTTTATATGAACACTCTTATTTATGCAGGTACAAGTTGGAAACTCTCCTGTATATAAGACAGAAAGGAAGTTGGGTAAGGGTGGTTTTGGCCAAGTGTATGTTGGCAGAAGGGTTAATGGTGGATCTGATCGAACAGGTCCTGATGCTATCGAGGTATTACTAAGATCATTCAAACTCTCTCCCCTCCCTCTCCATTCTCTCTGTCTTTCAGATCCAATAAAATATTAATAACATTGGGATGATACATTACCGTTTTCTTATTTAACTCTGTTTAAAGGTTGCACTCAAGTTTGAGCATAGAAACAGTAAAGGCTGTAATTATGGGCCTCCTTATGAGTGGCAAGTTTACAGGTACAAACAATCTGTCCTTCAGATATGAAAATGCTTACCGATAATGCAATTTTTAAGCATTCTTGAGTGCTTTAATTTTATTATATCCAATTCTCACTTTTGTATTTTTGGCATTGGTAAGTACTCTGAATGGTTGTTATGGCGTTCCTTGGGTTCATTACAAGGGTCGACAAGGAGATTTCTACATTTTGGTGAGATATATCTTCGACTTCCCTATATCAGCATATGTTGACTGGCTCTTTGTTCTAAAGATAAATATATTATTTCAGGTGATGGACATACTTGGGCCCAGCCTTTGGGACGTATGGAATTCTCTTGGTCAATCGTAAGATTTAGACCATTTGTTTCATCATATAGGTTCACTTGGTGTAACTGCATATTCTCTAAGTTCGTTCCATTTTGGCTCCTCTAACATTTTAGCATCTTGACAGGATGTCGCCAAGTATGGCTGCTTGTATTGCAGTTGAGGCAATATCAATTCTTGAGAAGCTCCATATGAAAGGGTAAATCCCTTTTATAGCTCTTTAGAGTCAATAGTAATGTTCCCATTTGTGATGACTTGGTTATGGGTGATTCCTTTTTATAAATGAAACTTGTATTCATTAAATCAGGTTTGTGCATGGAGATGTAAAACCAGAAAACTTTTTGCTTGGACAACCTGGAACGGCTGATGATAAGAAGTTGTATCTTATTGATCTTGGTTTAGGTATGTTGTTGTTTCAAGCCAGTTACTTTTGCATTTCCAGTTTTATTTCTCTATCTACCCTTAGGCCTTAGTTATTTGGAGTTATGCCATATTTGACCATGCATTCATGTCCATACCATGTGTTGTCTTCAGCTTCAAAGTGGAAGGATGCATCATCTGGTCAACACGTTGAATACGACCAGAGACCTGATATATTCAGGTTTGTAAATGTTTTGAATTTAACATGATTTTCTTGTGTTTACAAATTACATATTTACGTTGTTAATATGTCCCTTTTTGTGCAGGGGAACAATAAGGTATGCTAGTGTACATGCACATTTAGGTAGGACTGGCAGTCGAAGGGATGATCTTGAGTCACTGGCATACACATTAATATTTCTCATAAAAGGGAGATTGCCGTGGCAGGGTTATCAGGTGTGTTTTGTAGTATCTCATCATGTATAGATTATTGCTTGCTTCTTGGAGGTTTCATCTTATATTGTATGATTGTTTCATTTCCCCCAATCTACAGGGTGACAATAAAAGTTTTCTTGTTTGTAAGAAAAAAATGTCCACATCTGCGGAGTTGATGTGCTGCTTTTGTCCTGCTCCATTTAAGCTGTTCCTGGAAGCAGTTACGAACATGAAATTTGATGAGGAGCCAAATTATTCTAAGCTCATATCACTTTTTGATAGCTTGATCGAACCATGCACTCCATTGAGACCCATTAGAATTGATGGAGCTTTAAAGGTTATTTTAACTGCTATTCATATTTATTTGAGGGAAGTGCTGCATTGATTATTATATATCTGAATGCAACCATATATATATATATATAGGTTGGTCAAAAGCGAGGAAGGATGCTTATAAATCTGGAGGAAGATGAGCAGCCTAAGAAAAAAGTGCGATTGGGGAGTCCTGCTACTCAGTGGATATCAGTGTATAATGCACGCCGTCCCATGAAGCAAAGGTAATTAGTCTATCTACTTCAATATGTCATCTTCTTAATGTTACTGTTATATATTATGTTGTAATGTGATATTTTCTTTCTCAATGTTTGTTTTTGTTCCTAGTTTTGCTTTGTAGCTATGGGTTTCTTCTCCATGGTTTTGGTTATTGGTCATTGGTTATTCAACCTTCATGTTCACTTACGTATTGTGGCTCAAAAACTGGGATGTATCACTGTCATACTAAACCGATGTCCAGAGTTCTCCATTTGCTTTGCTGCAAGATGCATCACATTCCCTTCAAAGGGTTATCATTCACAAGAACAATCTCGTGCATCTGCATCAACCAATGTAGCATATGCCTATGTATAGAAATGTTAGACTCCTACAAATGTAGCATATGCCTATGTATAGAAATGTTAGACTCCTACAAATGTAGCATATGCTTAAGTATAGAAATGTTAGACTTCCCCAAATGAGGCTGTGATACATGGTTGTCTGCTACCTCCTTCGAGAACACTGCTGCATGCTCCATTTCTTTCAAACAACTGTCTGGCAGGGTGGATCAATTTGTTAGGAACCCAGGAAAGGGCAATGCAGAATTGATAGAATCAATCAGACAAAATGAACTATTATATTGATTACATAGAATAGTATATGATAAATACTTCTCCATGAATTTCTCTTTTACAACCTGGCCACTGTTATTCTGATGTAACAAATTTCAACCCCCCTCCTTTCTAACCGTAATTCTATTAAAGCTAAACCATCCATATGATTCATATCCTTCAAACATCTCTTAATCTCTACTAATGATTATACTGATATGACCATGACCACCTATAACTAACCATTTTATTCAGGAATATCTAATATCTACTAATTTTAAAACTTGTTAACTAGTTTAATTGATGTACCTGATCTTGAAATTTATAGATTTTGATTGAACATTGTACTTATCTCATGATAATGCTCTATAAAATAATTTAAACATACTGTGTAATTGCTGGTGCATGGTAAGGGACCTGTCTTTAAAGCAGTATACAGAGAATTGATTGCTCATTGTATATTTGTACGTGTTGCTTATTCATTTAGAAGTGTAGTCTCTATTTTGCTTGGTTTAAGTAACACTTTCTTGTGTTGCAGATATCATTATAACGTAGCTGACAATAGGCTTGGGCAGCATGTAGACAAGGGTATTGAGGATGGGTTATATATAAGCTGTGTGGCCTCTTCAGCAAATTTGTGGGCTCTAATAATGGATGCAGGAACAGGTTTTTCTTCCCAGGTTTATGAGTTATCACCTGTCTTCCTGCACAAGGTTTGGCCTTTTCTTTCCCTGATCCCCATATTTCATTTTCTACAAACTTTATGAACGGAATAATTTATGTTTGGCTGCTGCTATTTTGATGATCCCTCAGGATTGGATTATGGAGCAATGGGAAAAAAATTACTATATCAGTTCAATAGCTGGTGCAGTTAATGGCAGTTCCTTGGTTGTGATGTCCAAAGGTTTGATCATTACACTTTTGCAACATTTATAGATTTTTGACATACTCTACTCTTTTTTGCTCTCTTCATATTGTCTCAACCATTTTTATGTACTATTTATTATTGAGGAATTGTAGTATCTTACCTATCTTTGTCACTATAACCATCACTTTTCCACTCTTTTTTTTATCTTCTTATTGCCTCAGCCATTTCTATGTATTATTTATTATTGAGGCACTGTTGTACCTTGCCTACCATTGTTACCATTACCAACCTTTAACATCCATGCCCTAGTCTAGATATTTTTCGATATTTGTTTTTTTAAAATTCTAGGTTGGTGGTTTGTCTATTGTTTTTTCTTTGTTCTTTTATGGTTGCTATGCCATTTAAGTTGTGTGTGTATGAAGAGAAGCAATGCAAAGTTGTAAAAAATACACTGCAAGTGTTTGCCATTTTATACCAATTTAAGCGCTACCTTCTATTAATATGAATGACAAGGTTCATAGGTGCAATCCGGGACTCATTTGGTCCTTTAAAGAAGCCTGACCTAAGTTTTCTCAGGTTCTAAGAAGCCACCTTTTTGGTTTTCAGCCTCCTTGGCCCACTTAGACATTGTATACATTTTTATGGAATTACAAAATTATTATAAAGAAAAATGGATTCTCTTCATGTTCAATCTCTGCTTTCCTATTTATGTGATTCAATTTGTACCTAGTTCATTTTGGGAGACATGTGACAGTCTTGGCATAAACCAGCCTATGAGACAACACTTCCTTGTAAACAACTTAATTAGTTTTAGAAACTGACAGTCTTGGCATAAATGAAGTTATGAGGCAACACTTCCTTGTAAACAACTTATTTAGTTTTAGAAACTGACAACTTTCAAATTGTTGAATCAGGGGATGTGCCTGTCTTTACCTCGTTCAAATTCTCCGGGATGAGAAAAACATTGACTATTCTTAGAAATATATGAATCGCTGTTTATTATCTTATGGTAGAGTCTTTGCTGTGCAGGAACCCCTTACACACAGCAGTCCTACAAAGTGAGTGATTCTTTTCCTTTCAAATGGATAAACAAGAAGTGGAAAGAAGGATTCCATGTTACCTCCATGACTACTGCTGGTAGCCGCTGGGGTGTTGTAATGTCCAGGAATGCTGGGTATTCTGATCAGGTATATAACCTTTTTAACAAAGATTTTTGGTCATATTTGGTTTTTTTAACAATAACGTACTTAATATCTCATTTGGTGATTCAAGGTTGTGGAGCTTGACTTTTTGTATCCAAGTGAAGGAATTCATCGACGATGGGAGAATAATTACCGGATTACTTCTATGGCTGCTACTAATGATCAGGCAGCCTTCATATTGAGCATACCAAAACGCAAATTACTTGATGAAACTCAAGAGACTCTGAGAACGTCTGCTTTTCCTAGCACCCATGTAAAGGTATAATTGCATTCATTGTGCCCTATTATATGTTGAGATTTATGCAGTTTTAGCATGCCTGGTGTTTGGAACCCCCTTTTTAGCATGCTTGAGTATCTGGTGGGTACTGATATTAATTGTACCTTGTTGAATCAGCTGAATGACTTTTCTTTTATTTGGGATTGCTTGTTGATGCAAGGAATAAGGGCTGGGAAAGGAGTATAAAAACAATTTCAATTCTCTTCCCCTTGACCTGTCTTCACAGCCAAGGGGAAGAAGTCCTCACTGTCTTCTGTGGTGTGAAATGCTCACTGTCTTCTGTGTGCCACTGCTATTCTTCCCCTATTCATTTTTTCTGTCTCACAATTTAGTAACATCTAACTTGATTGTATTTTATCCTGTCTTCCAATATTAATTGTTAATCTTAGTGGAGAGTTGTAGTTGAGAGCATGTGTTTGCTAATGCTTGGATTTTCTGTGGTGTGTGCTACTGCTACCATCTCTTTTGGGTTTTTCAATCACGAAGTATTAATATCCTACTTGATGATTTTGCAGGAAAAATGGGCCAAGAATCTCTATATTGCCTCCATATGTTATGGGCGAACTGTTTGCTAGCTTCTGCAGTGAATATTTGCTATATCCTTTTGGAAAGATGGGAGGATTTCCGCTTTACGCTTGTTGAAGTTTGGGATGGGTAGGCTTGATTTTACCCCCCAAACAAACCCAGTCACTGCCCAAAAGTTTTCCCATATAAAAATGCGTTATAATTGTATAAAAAAGAAAAAGGTAAATGAGAAACAGAAGCGATGTATGCTGTGAGATCGTGTTCAATGGGAGCAATGATTTGTTGAATAGTATAACATGTTAAAGAGGCTGGCTGTTTTTGGCCATGTTTCATGGTTGTGCTTTAAAAAAATTATTATGATTTTGTTTGTAATGACATAAATTTTTACCAACTTCATCATCATCAACATAAAATAATGAATTCTAAAGCCACAAGTTTTTAGATTTGAAGACTAATTATTCTTCAGTCCTTGACTACTGGTTGTGAGGGTTCACTATATGCCCAGCTTATTTATAATGATTAAAAGGCATTTTCTTTGAATAAGCAGTTCATGCTGTCTGAAAAATGAGTCGCCCAACGGTTTTAAGTCTCTTACCCTGCAGTTTTACTCCCATTATCTTTTTGACGAACTGCTAACAATTACTGCTAACAATTAGCTGTGTACACTTTATACTGATACAAATCGTAAACAAATGGTTTGTTTTTTAATCTTTATGGTAATACTTATTTTTCGTATAATATTGATTTAAATGATGATTTTTATGTTTAAATTAATAAATATTTTTTAGTTTTTAATTCTATTTTTGACTATATCAAGTTATACCTTGCATTAAATCAATTACATATTTTTCTTAGAATTTTAATTTGTATCAATTCAAATTCCATCTAAACTTAATTGCATTTGATCAAATGTTTAGAAGAGCCTTTCAAATTGAATCGAATTGTATCCAATATCTTTGAGTTAAGCTACGGTTAGTTATGTTTGCAACTATAAATGCAAACTTTTGCTAGGAATTGTAACGAACTTTTGACAAATCAAAATTCAATTATTCTGCAACTCTGATAGAATCAAATTACTCTAGATAGAATCAAATTACTCGTTCTATTGGACTGGATATTGGTGATATAAACAAAAAAGTTTATCATAAAAAACAAAGTTACTCCAAAAAAATATAGAAACTACTATTGTTATCACCAAAAAAATCATCATAAAAAAATAGTTACTCCAAAAAACATGGAAACTACTCTTTTACAATAGTTACTCCAAAAAAAATGAAAACTACTCTTTTACAATTCTATCCTTGTATTAGTTAGTGATCAATGGATGTGGTAACTTGGTAAGTCCTCTATTGATGTCGCATGTGTCTTTTACTCAAATATCCACAATTTTGGCATTGATAATGTTGATTGCGAATGAGGAATCACATCGCCTGTAGTTTTCGCTTATGATTGCACACAAACTATATGAATAAAACTTTCATCTCTGCATTAATAAGTTGAAACATACACCAATGTTCACAAGCTCACCGATCTCGTTGTTTGCATGCCCAATCCACCTTAATTTCTTGACGATGAAGCTCGTCACACATGTACCATAAATGTCAAGTACTCTATTTGGTTATAAAAGGGTCAAATGTTGTTGTCGTGACTTCAATCCACATTTTCTAGTGAAATTCTCTCACGTGTGTTAGGATGCTAACACGCGCGTTTGCATTCGAGTGCTTTTCAAATTTTCTTATCGATTGGTTGTTAATGTATAGATCGTAGAGACAATCGAATAATGTGTTCAAAATGTGTTAATGACACAACAATTTATTCTCCTTTTGTGTCTTGTGTACTGTCTTGAGTTCTTTATAATCATCGTCTTGCGATTCTGAAATTGGTGCGAGTTCAAGATCTAATACATAGAAAATATTCAAAGTAGTCTGGAGGAAGAAGATCTTATCTCGCTAGCGAGCGAAGTTTATCCTATCAAAATGATCCAATTTCACAGGATCTTGGTTCATCACTTTGATGTTTGAAACGATAGCTTTGATTGCCATTTTTGAGATGCTATTAAACTGTTAGAAATTGTTTCTAAGTTAAACGAAATCATGCACCTGGGCACTTTCCTAATAGTATTTCAAGTACTCTCTATTTTGTCTCAGAGTCTACACACATAAACACTCATGATAATTCAACCTAATTCGAATTTGTACAAGATAGATGAAAACTCGAATGTAGAAAAGAAAGAAATTTAGAATTTAAACAAGGAAGATTCGAGTTCAAATTGGTATGTTTTTTTAATCAGAAATAACCTATTTATAGATTAAATGGTGTTGTTTCACAAGGTTGCGATCCTTGATAAAACACATCCTTTCACCATGTGATACAACTTTTTATTAAGTATTGTGATCCTTGGTAAAATATGTTAGTGCATGAGACACTTTGAGTGAGTGAATGAATGAGAGAGAGAGAAGTAAAAGTAATTGATGAGTTGTTGTTATTGAAAGTTGTTAAAACTGAATTACAATTATGTGTACATATACAATTATGTTACTTATATACTAAGCAACTAACATAACAAACCCTAACCTTAACTAACTTGCTTGGGCTACAACTTGGGTTATATCAGAACATAACCCCGTATAATCCAAGTTGGCGAACACAAATTAACCATAATCGATCTGAATTATTCCTAATTTCTTTCTCAAAGTTAGGAATCTGTCGATCTTCAGTCTTTTGATGAAAATGTCAGTCAATTGTGCTTCACTCGAGCAATGTCTCACTTCAAGTTCACCATGGTTTACCTTCTTCTTTAGGAAATGAAACATAGCCTCAATGTGCTTACTTCTTTCATGCAGAACTGAATTCTTTGCAAGATTAATGGCTGACTTGTTGTCGATCTGTAACACCAAAGGTTTCTTTACTTCGCCCTTCATCTCTTCCAACACAGATCTGATCCAAATTGCTTGACAATCAACATATGATCCTGCTATATATTCAACCTCATATGATGATAATGCCACCATAAGTTGCTTTCTCGAGCACCATGAGATTGGGGCACTAAATACTTGAAAGAAGTAACTAGTTGTGCTTATTTGATCTTACTTGTCTCCACATCGATCAACATTTGAATAAAAATTAATCACAACTTCTTTGCTTTTAAAATCTTGCCCAAATATGATTCCGCATTTCATTGATTCTTTTAAGTATCTCAGGATTCTTCTTGCAACCTTCATGTGCGACACCTTTGGTTCATCCATGTATCTACTCACTAATCCGACTGAGATACCTATATTAGGTATGCTTGCACACATACCTCATATATCTTACAATTTGTTTGAACAAAGTATTGTCGACCTTGTCCTCCTCTCCATGTTTCTCTAGTTTTAGATTTGATTTGACAGGTAAGGATGCAAAATTCGAGTCTTCCATTGTGAATCTCTTGAGTACATCTTTGACATACTTTCTTTGATGTAACACCATAACTTGCTTTGACATTTGAAATTCCCTGCCTAAGAAATAAGACAATTTTCCCAGATCCAACATTTCAAATTTCCTCTTCATCAGCTCTTTGAACTTCGACAAGCTCTTCATGCTATTTACCATTACTAGTAAGTCATCTACATATAAGCATATGATACACAACTTCATCTAGGGGATCATTTAAAAATGTTGATTTCACATCTAAGTGAAATGTCAACAAACCTTGCTTGCATTCCAAGGCGGTCCAATTAGACAGTCTCCAATCTTGTTACTGGTTCATATACTTCAGAGTAGTTGAGTTTTTCTCTATGAAAAAATCCTCAAGCTATTAATCTTGCCTTGTGTCTTACAATCAACCCATCAAGATTGTGCTTCAATTTGAACACCCACTTTATTTCGATAACTTTTGTGTGTGCTGGCAATTTGACTAACTCCCATGTATTGTTTCTTTCGATCGCATGTAAATCTTCGACCATAACTTCCTTCCATTGTTTATCTTTAAAGGCCTCACTATAGTCGATTGGTTCAACACCTGCAAGTAAAGATAAATGAACCAAATATCCATCTGGTGTGACTTCATCATCACCAACCATTTCAAAATCTTGAAGCGTTTTTGGGACTACTCTGGTTTTTTTGAGGTCTTTGGCTTGTGCTAATTACACCTTCTTCAACTTCGAATGTGTCTGAAATATCAATAATTACTTAAACTTTGACTTCATCAGTTTCTTCATTGATTCCATAACTCATCAAAGGCTTGTTAATTGCTTCGACAATGTCTTGTTTTTCGATAGAGGATATTTTAAGACCAGACTATTCTGGGTGTCGAACAACTCCAAGACTCCATCTTTCATAACCACTGAGAAACCTTTTTTGACCATTTGCCCAACACTTATTAGGCTTCACTTCATTCCAGGTACATAAAATACATCTTTGATCATATCTTTTGCTCCATTGCTCATTTAAATAACTATGTTGCCAGTACCTTATAATTTCAATGAGCTATTATCTGCAAGTTTGACCTTGCTCTTTTTCAACTCTTCAAAATCTGCTAACCATACTTTCCTACCAGTCATGTGGTTCGAGCAACCTGTGTCGAGGAACCAAATTTTAGAGTCGACATGGTCATCTGTAATTGCAGCTATAACCACCATATCTTTAAAATCATTTCCTTCTCATTTTTGGAGGATTCATAAGCGCTATCATCAACCTCGTGTTTTTGAGGGTTTGACCTAGACTTCTTACTCTAAGTCATGTCTCTTTTGCTCTTAAACTTGTTGGAAGCATCATGTTTCTTCCATGTCTGAGCCTGTAGTGCTTGTATTGAATCTTAAACAAATTTCCTTTTGACAATTATCATCTCATGTGCCTCAATTGAACCAACCAAATCTTACAGCTTCATGGTTTCAAGATTTGAATGGCTATGATAACATGATCAAAGTGAGGGGTCCATGTATGCATTACCTTCTCAACTATCATCTTATAAGTTAGGGTTTCACCACACTCTTTCACGAGATGAACAAGATTTTTCACCTTCGAGACATATCATTCAATCTCTTCTTCTTCTCCCATATGTAGTAATCAT